AGTCCAAATTACCCCAGAGCTTGACCAAGCAATATTTCTTGGGCTGGAGATCTTTCATTTCTGGGCCACGAAATTGAAGGTGAAGGAGCGGGAGGAGACAGAGGTCAGGGAGGGCAGCACCAACGTCATCGGCACAGGCACCAAAAGCGAGCTCGAGGGGAGGAGTGGGGACGATCTGCTCGGAGCATGCTTCGCGAGACCCAGGTGGGGAGCTCAAGGGCGCAATCACGCGGATGGCCGTCGCTGCAGCCTGCGCTGGACGCCTGCAAATGGGGCCCACCCCGAGAGCCCACAAGGTGCCGCTCAGAAGGCACCCCTGGGGGACCCCTGGAAATATTTGCTCCAACACGCCAAAACAAAATTACGCCACCGAAGAACCCCACATTCTTATTTTATGTCACGTGTGTTCACATACCATGTCGCATCTCGCTTCGCCATCCTGACGAATGACTGACCAGGCCAGGGACTGCTGCAGAGTGCAAGTCTGCATGGGCGGGGCCTCCGTTGGCGTGTCCTTCGTCGGCGTAGCCTTCATAGGCGTGGCAAACGCTGCGGCGGGGGCCTCTGCGTCAGCCGCCGCGCTGCCGGCCTCGCGCACTCGCCGAACCTTCGCCGGCGGGCCGCCGCCGTCGTCTAAAAGAGCCTCCTGGGGGAACCCGCCCGACGTAGGGTCCATCAGGAACGTCACCAGGGACTGCCTCTTGCCAGCGTCGTTCGTTCCTGGATACGGCAAGTCACTCTACCTCTTGCGAAGCGCGTCCGGCCACCAATTTCGAAGCTGGCGGCCGTAAGCTTCAAGCGCGGATTTGATGAACCTGTCCATGCCATGCTTTTCGATGTACTCTTGCAACCCTGCCAGACTAATGTCGACGCTCATCTCGACCATCCGGTTCAAGAGAATGGTGCACGGAGGTGGCAATTCGGCCACTGCACATTTTGGGGGCATGCCTGTGGCGCCTGCTGTCTTTGAGCCTGCTTGAGCCGAGATGTCTTTAGTTAACCTTGCTGAGAATACTTCTGCCGCATGCACGCCTGAGGCACCGGCGCATGCTGCCCAAGATATAGACTCCAGAAAATGTCAAAGCTGCTACGCTACCTACGTACCCTCTCTGCTGTCAAGGGAATGACACGCCTGGTAGGCCCTGCGACATTGGCGCGTATAGAGACCGCGGTGAGAGACCACCCCCGTGCGCACCCCCTCCGGTGTCAAGAAAATGCCACGCCTGCTGGGCCCTGCGACATTGGCGCGTATGGGGGCCGCGGTGAGAGACCACCCCCTGCGCACCCCCTCTGGCGTCGAGATAACGCCACGCCTGCGAGGCAGCGTTTAGGGGCCGCGGTGAGAAGACCCCCTTCCTTGCGAACCCCCTCCAGTGCCGAGAAAGTGCCACGCCTGCTAGGCCCTGCGACATTGGCGCGTATAGGGACCGCGGTGAGAGACCACTCCCTGCGCACGCCCTCTGGTGTCGAGAAAGTGCCACGCCTGCTAGGCCCTGCGACATTGGCGCGTATGGGGACCGCGATGAGAGACCACCCCCTGCGCACCCCCTCCGGTGTCGAGAAAGTGCCACGCCTGCTAGGCCCTGCGGCATTGGCGCGTATGGAGACCGCGGTGAGAGACCACCCCATGCGCACCCCCTCTGGTGTCGAGAATGTGCCACGCCTGCTAAGCCCTGCGACGTTGGCGCGTATAGGGACCGCGGTGAGAGACCACCCCCGTGCGCACCCCCTCTGGTGTCGAGAAAGTGCCACGCCTGCTAGGCCCTGCGACATTGGCGCGTATAGGACCGCGGTGAGAGACCACCCCCTTGCGCACCCCCTCTGGTGTCGAGAAAGTGCCACGCCTGCTAGGCCCTGCGACATTGGCGCGTATAGGGACTGCGGTGAGAGACCCCCCTGCGCACCCCCTCTGGTGTCGAGAAAGTGCCACGCCTGCTAGGCCCTGCGACATTGGCGCGTATAGGGACCGCGGTGAGAGACCACCCCCTGCGCACCCCAGGCCCTGCGACATTGGCGCGTATGGAGACCGCGGTGAGAGACCACCCCCTGCGCACCCCCTCTGGTGTCGAGAAAGTGCCACGCCTGCTAGGCCCTGCGACATTGGCGCGTATAGGCCGCGGTGAGAGACCACCCCCTGCGCACCCCCTCCGGTGTCGAGGAAGTGCCACGCCTGCTAGGCCCTGCGACATTGGCGCGTATAGGGGCCGCGGTGAGAGACCACCCCCTTGCGCACCCCCTCCGGTGTCGAGAAAGTGCCACGCCTGCTAGGCCCTGCGACATTGGCGCGTATAGGGACCGCGGTGAGAGACCACCCCCTGCGCACCCCCTCTGGTGTCGAGAAAGTGCCACGCCTGCTTGGCCCTGCGACATTGGCGCGTATAGGGACCGCGGTGAGAGACCACCCCCTTGCGCACCCCCTGCGGTGTCGAGAAAGTGCCACGCCTGCTAAGCCCTGCGACATTGGCGCGTATAGGGACCGCGATGAGAGACCACCCCCTGCGCACCCCCTCTGGTGTCGAGAAAGTGCCACGCCTGCTAGGCCCAGCGACATTGGCGCGTATAGAGACCGCGGTGTGAGACCACCCCCTGCGCACCCCCTCCGGTGTCGAGAAAGTGCCACGCCTGCTCGGCCCTGCGACATTGGCGCGTATAGAGACCGCGGTGAGAGACCACCCCCTGCGCACCCCCTGTGGTGTCGAGAAAGTGCCACGCCTGCCGTGCCCTGCGCCATGGCCTGCATAGAGCCTCCTGCCATCCACTGCGAATCCTACACGCACGTCTTGTATATGGCATGGTATGTGTATGTGTATGATGCGTGTGCGGCTATATCGGGACGTGTCTCATGTGGGTGCCCACTATGTCGCGCACACGCCTCAATGGACGCTGCAGTGATCACGCCAGGCGCGCACTAGCGTTGTATGGTGTGTGTGTGTGTGTGTGTTGTGTGTGTGCGAGTGTGTGCATGCGCGCGGCCGTATGTAGACGCGTGTCTCATGTACTTGCCGTGCACGCGTTGAGCGCGGGTGAGGAGAGGGAGGAGGAGAGAGGAGATGAGGTGTGAGGTGAGGTGAGACGCGGGTGCGCCGCGGCAGGGAAGAAAACCAGAACCCCACGAAACATGTGGGGAACAACCAGAAACAAATGGTGCCGCTCGGACCCGACCTTCAGGAATCCAAGCGCATGTGCTCAGATGGTTCCGATGGCATGTAGATAACCACGAGGAAACTCACAGCGTGCCAGCACGGCTCGAAGCCACACTGCCGGGACATGCAATGGAAAGCAGCTCGTAGATCAGACGAGATCACGCAGGGCCGACGAGCGGGGGCGTCGCCCCAGATGCTGCAAAAGACGGGCCTCCGCATCCAGGTCTTCAGTGTGAGCCCACGAGGTACGGCCTCCAACGAAGCCTTGCTGACTTTCGCGGACATCCTGCTTGGCTACTCCGTTGCGATGCACGTTGACGGCCCGGGTGAGGGCCTCACTGTCGGTGCTTGCTTTATTGGGCGGGCGCAGAGCACCCGCATCTCTCACGCAGTCGGCGTTGTCTTCAAGGATCTCCACCTTTCTCGGGATGAAAGGAAGGCACGAGTGGCTACATCCGTCGACAGGGGCCCCACCAGAAAAGTAACCGCAACACCACCTCAAAGAAAAGACTTCGGCAGCTTCTGCAACGGCTCGCTAGGCCCCGTTGGCAACACGATCAAGGCTGGGGAAGGAGGCCCGCCCGAGCTTCAAAGCTGTCGCGGGGTCCACGGGGGTAGGGAGAGGGGGGTCAGAGAACGGAACGACGGGGAGGGTGGAATCCAGATATTCGGAGGTGGCCTGTTCAGAACAGCTGGTAGCAGAGAAGAGCATTGGAGCAGATGGCCTGTTCCAATGCTCTTTTATCGCGGCGGCCATGGTGCCGACGGCTCGCGAACGATCTGTCCGTGCCCGGCCTGAGAATGCCTGGTGCCGTGCAGGAACAGGCGGCGACGAGCTGGATTCCACAACAAGGCGTGTCGCATCGAGCTCTCCTGAATCTTCGTGGGTTCAGGCGTGCCAGCGAGCGAGTCATCACCCTGAAAAAAACGCCCACGCCGACCTGCAGCACGAGCCACCTCCTTCGCCACCTCCTCGAAGCGCTGCTGGTTCGCCGCGATGGTGACCTCGCAGTGCTCAGCAGCATGTGCAATGAGTCGGAGATGGCCAGGTAGCGCTGGGCGAGGTCGGACGTCCACTGAAGCCGACGCGGCAAGTGCGAGTCCTGCCTCCACATTGCCCTCGAGATCGCCCTCAGAGACAAGCACTTGAGCTCCACCGCGGCAGTATCAGCAGGGGGTGAGAGACTCCGTTATAGCGCATCCCGTGTAGGAGCTGCCGCCATCGGCATTATTTCCTTCATGCGCATCCACTACAAGTGTTTGTTGAGCTGCTCAAGTTGGGCGGCGTCCATGCAACGTTGAAGGAGTTCAATGAGCCGTGGCTGATGGAAGATGAAGCTGGGAATGCTGTGCTGATCGTTTGCTGGGGAATCGTCGGTGCGAAGAAGACCAGCAGCAATGCGTAATCTGACAGAGCTCAGTCAGACAGGCGAGGAGCTTCCTAAATAACGTCCACGGCATCGTCGCAGTCAGGGACGAAGGGCGAGATGAGGCTGACAAAGTCCCTGTCAACTGTGCTCAGTGCCGTGGTGGCTTGCAAGTAAGTGGTAGGAAGAGAAGTTTATAACTCGAGCATACCGCGTTGAAACGGGTCACGCCGAAAAGATGCAGCTTGAGAGGCGCGACCATCTTGAGATAGTCTAGTTTGCCTTCTCTGTGAGAACAGCAAAAGTTCTTGGTGGCGTCGCTAACGTTGAAGTCGCCGAGAGATAAAGCATCAGAGGGGATGGAGGAGGAGGAGGAGGAGAAGGAGGAGGAGCAGGTGGACAAGGAGGAGGGTTGAAAAAACGCGGGGTTCTTGCTCAGGGAGGTGTGGAGGTCTGGGGTGCGGCGGTGCGGTCGAGGCTGCCCACGCACCTGGTCGGGATCCAGCCCAGCGGGCGCCTCTTCGAACCTGGCTGGAAGGTATGCATAAGCATAAACCTTTAGAGCACCGCACTATTTTCTTGGATCGGCGCTAGAGCCCACCCTCTCTGGCGCGCGGAGCGCGCCAGTGGCTGCGCCGCCCGAGGCGCCGCCAGGGGGGCCTGGCGCCGACCCGAGAACTCCGCGCGGAGCTCCGACAATGTATGTTTGCTCTTGGACACGGCCAGGAGGTCCGAACTGGATGGGTGAGGGCAGATCCGTTCGAAGTTAGTAAGTACACGGACCCCTCCATGGGTCCATCTGGTGCAGTTTTGCACTCCAGATTCGTTTCTGACCATCCCAGGGCCCAAAAACGGCCCCCGGAGGCCGAAAGAGGTAAAAAAAAAACATGTCGACGCCAGAACCTCGGACTTCGCCCCCCCTTCTCGCTGGCCAGAACCAGTGCTGGGCCACCTAAGACCCTCGGCTGGCTCCAAGTTGATTCATTTCTCTTCGAGAACCACGGGCCAAGCGGGGTGCGCGCGGCGGCGGCGGGCGCTCCCGGCGCTGGCGGCGCGGCGAGCTCCGCCGGCACGCGCTGGAGCAAGAGGGGCCGGGTGCGGTAGCGGACGCAGTGCAGCAACGACCCGAAGCGCAGCGCGCAGTCCACGCACACCTCTCGGAGCGGGCAAGTTCAGACGTCCAACGCATCGAAAAAAATAGTTAGGCACAAATGTTTCACCGTTGTCGGCCTGCGGGGGCCCTCGCCGGGCCCTGGGACCGCCAAGAAACGACTCGGGACGAAAAACCAGGCCTGGGGAAAGGGTCGGGACTTCTGGGGACCTCGGGTCGGGCAAACCCTGAGATCTAGGCTTTGCAAATTTTTCACGCTGGGCGTCCTCGCCCAGCTTCGAGTCCAGGGACCCTCACGGATGGACCCAGCGCAAAAAGTGCCGCAGAAAGATCAGGTCCAGAGCTCCAGTCGTGAGTTTCACGATGCTGAAGTTTTCTTCGCTGCGTCAAACTGTTTTTATCGACCGGCGGCTTTTCCTAGATTTCGGCCCCTGGGGCCGTCTCCAGGCCACGGGGCCAGCAGACATGGATCTGGGACACACAAAAATAGACTCCCGGGGCAGCGGTCGGGACCCAAACCTGGCCGAAACTGGCGCTCTCCCCCCCGAAACGTTGACCGCAGCATTTCACCTTGATCTAGATCGACCGAAGCTTCGGCCCCACATGCAGCAGATTTCGCACGGCGGTGGTGACCTGGGTCGACGGCGGTGACCATTTCGATTCGGCCCCAGTGCAGGGCCTCTCAGGTAGCTGATAAGATGGTCTGCCGTCCCGCACTCGCAGAACACATTTTGTCGTTTTGGCTGTCCTGCAGCTCAACCCGTGCCAGGTTCCTTGGAGAAGTACCGCCCCCGCCAGCAGCCCCCCCCGCCCCGTTCCCAGTGCCCCTCCCTGTCTTGGCGGCGCAAGGGGCTAGGGGGGCTAGGGGGAGAGGGGAAAGCTTCTTGGAAGCAGGTCGCTTCGTAGAAGGCGCCGGCCCTACATCTACAGAGAAGGCCCGCGCCTTGTGAGGAAGCAGGGGTGCTTCTGAGAAGCTTGCCCCGCTCCCGCTACCACCCTCTGCGCGTGGCCGGCTGTCGTCCGCCCCGAGAACCGCGGCCTGTGCCCGTCCTGCGCCCGAGAGGCGGTCTGCAGGCCCTTCGGTCGGGAGGCGGTCGGCAGAGGCGGCATGGAGCGGGGGGACGGTCAGAGGCAGAGGCGGGTCGTGGACGGCAGCGGGCAGGCAGGCCTGACCTGGACCGAATCGCGAAATCGGATCGGAATCGCTAGCAAATCGTCCCGAATCGACGCAAAACCAGATCTAGACAAGCGCGCTCCACTACTTGGAAAAAAAGTAACTACTCGCAAATGGCCTGGATCCGCCACGGGGAATTTACGATTCGCGACATCGAGGCAAACATGTGTTTTCAGAACGTTTGCGAGTGGGCACTTTGCGAGCAGTGGGACGCGCTCGGTGAAGATCGCCGCACCCAGCTCTGGCTGGCCCTGGCCGATGCCGGCGAATCGAATCGAATCGGAATCGCGGCCCCAGCAGGCGAATCAAATCGGATCGTGGGCGGCCCTGGCAGGCACAGGGCGAGGGCCCTTCGGCTGCTGAAGCAGGAACGCGTTTCGGGATTGGTGGGGTCTGGCGACGCTGGCGGGCCCGGCGTGTGAGCTCTGGAGCACGTGCAGGCCCATTCGTGGCGCGCCTGGGGAACGCAGGCCGTGTGGGCCGCACGCCCCAGGCATTTCAACGAATTACCCCCGTGGAGTCTGCGCCACGCCGAGACACAGCCCTCCTGTGGGGTCTGGGGAGAGGGACGGGAATGAGAGCGAGGGAAGAGGAGAGGAGGATGATGTGGGTGGAAGCGAGGAAGAAAGGGAGGGAAGGAGGAAGGAAGGAAGGAAGAGAGCGAGGCAGGAGAATGGAGGGGAGCAAGGGCGCGCGCCACCCTGAGAACTTCTCCTCCTCCTCCTCCTGCTCCTGTTCCTCCTCCTCCTCCTCATCATCATCAGCATCATCATCACCAGCATCAGCATCATCATCATCAGCAGCATCATCATCAGCATCAGCATCATCATCATCATCATCATCATCATCATCATCATCATCATCATCATCATCATCATCATCATCATCATCATCATCATCATCCTTCCAATCATTTCCCGCCTCACCCCCCCCTCCTTTCCGCCCTCGCCCTCGTCCTCCTCCGACGGACCAGGAGGAGGAGTTGTGGCAGCTGCTCCAGGCTACTATGGGAGAGCGGCCCGTGATTGCGGCCCAGAGAGCTGCCTGGATCTCGGGAGTGCCGCCGTCGATGCTGCGCCGGGAGGCAATAGAAGGTTCTGCTCAAGAGATCCGCGGAGCGAGACCCAAGCCGGCTTAGGACCACGGTCCAAGCCCGTCCACCCTGGCGCACCCGCCCCCGCCGCCAAGGGGCTCCAAGAAAAAAATCGTCGACGTCTCGTCTGCACGGGAGCAGGACACAGAACGGCAGCAGACCCGGCCAGGGCCCGCCTGACTGCCCCCGCGGCCCCCAGGGCCCTCAGCAGTGGCAAAATGTGTAATACAGAAACTCAAGCGTGAAAGATTAAAGCAACAACGAACGTGTTTTGTCCCCTATGGCATTTCGCTGGAGGGTTCTAACAGCGGTCAAGAAGGACCACAGAGCAATCCCACAGGGGGGGGGGAGCCCTAGACCCCCCAGTCTAGCAGCCGTTTCGCCTGAGCACTCCGCATAATGTTTCCCAACCATCCTGTGGTGTTGGGTCCTCGTTTTGAAGAGACGGTGCCCGCGTCCTCTCCTCTCCTCCTCTTCCCCCTCCTCCCTCCTCCTCCTCCTCCTCCTCCTCCTCCTCCTCCTCCTCCTCCTCCTCCTCCTCTCATCATCAGCATCATCATCATCATCGTCATCGTCACCGTCATCATCAGCATCATCATCATCATCATCATCATCGTTCTTATCACCATCGTCGTCATCATCATCGCCGTCTCCATCATGGCCACACGTTTCGTGGACCCATAGTGAGCTCCACCGAAGGCCCCAGTGGCAAGGTCCGCATGCGGTTCCACCTCCATTTCGGCGCACCCCTCACACGTTCCGTGGCCCCATAGGGAGCTCCACCGAAGGCCCAAGTGTCAGGGTCCGCATGCGGTTCCACCTCCATTTCGGCGCACCCCTCACACGTTTCGTGGCCCCATAGGGAGCTCCACCGAAGGCCCAAGTGTCAGGGTCCGCATGCGGTTCCACCTCCATTTCGGCGCACCCCTCACACGTTTCGTGGCCCCATAGGGAGCTCCACCGAAGGCCCAAGTGTCAGGGTCCGCATGCGGTTCCACCTCCATTTCGGCGCACCCCTCACACGTTTCGTGGCCCCATAGGGAGCTCCACCGAAGGCCCAAGTGTCAGGGTCCGCATGCGGTTCCACCTCCATTTCGGCGCACCCCTCACACGTTTCGTGGCCCCATAGGGAGCTCCACCGAAGGCCCAAGTGTCAGGGTCCGCATGCGGTTCCACCTCCATTTCGGCGCACCCCTCACACGTTTCGTGGCCCCATAGGGAGCTCCACCGAAGGCCCCAGTGTCAGGGTCCGCATGCGGTTCCACCTCCATTTCGGCGCACCCCTCACACGTTTCGTGGCCCCATAGGGAGCTCCACCGAAGGCCCAAGTGTCAGGGTCCGCATGCGGTTCCACCTCCATTTCGGCGCACCCCTCACACGTTTCGTGGCCCCATAGGGAGCTCCACCGAAGGCCCAAGTGTCAGGGTCCGCATGCGGTTCCACCTCCATTTCGGCGCACCCCTCACACGTTTCGTGGCCCCATAGGGAGCTCCACCGAAGGCCCAAGTGTCAGGGTCATGCGGTCCACCCACCTCCATTTCGGCGCACCCCTCACACGTTTCGTGGCCCCATAGGGAGCTCCACCGAAGGCCCAAGTGTCAGGGTCCGCATGCGGTTCCACCTCCATTTCGGCGCACCCCTCACACGTTTCGTGGCCCCATAGGGAGCTCCACCGAAGGCCCAAGTGTCAGGGTCCGCATGCGGTTCCACCTCCATTTCGGCGCACCCCTCACACGTTTCGTGGCCCCATAGGGAGCTCCACCGAAGGCCCAAGTGTCAGGGTCCGCATGCGGTTCCACCTCCATTTCGGCGCACCCCTCACACGTTTCGTGGCCCCATAGGGAGCTCCACCTGAGGCCCCAGTGGCAGGGTCCGCATGCAGTTCCACCTCCATTTCGGCGCACCCCTCACACGTTTCGTGGCCCCATAGGGAGCTCCGCCTAAGGCCTAAGTGGCAGGGTCCGCATGCAGTTCCACTTCCATTTCGGCGCACCCCTCACACGCTTCGTGGCGTCATAGGGAGCCCCGCCTAAGGCCCAAGTGGCACGGTCCGCATGCAGTTCCACCTCCATTTCGGCACACCTCTCACACGTTTCGTGGCCCCATAGAGAGCTCCGCCTAAGGCCCAAGTGGCAGGGTCCGCATGCAGTTCCACCTCCATTTCGGCGCACCCCTTACACGTTTCGCGGCCCCATAGGGAGCTCCACCGAGGACGCCAATGGCAGGGTCCGCATGCAGTTCCACCTCCATTTCGGCGCACCCCTCACACGTTTCGCCCCACAGGGTGCTCCACCGAAGGCCCCAGTGGCAAGGTCCGCATGCAGTTCCACCTCCATTTGGCGCACCTCTCACACGCTTCGTGGCCCCATCGGGTGTTCCACCAACGACGATACTTACAACGGCGGCATTCGGAATTGCGTATGGTTGGGCCCTTCGCCAGGATAATTTTTTCCAGCGCACGATATTCGTTTTGTCTTTGTTCCCAGAGCGAGATGACACCACAGATGAGGAAAAAAACGAGTCTCAAATGCAACCTCTTTGTTGCACCGTACCGAGCACTCCATGCCCCTGGACCCCTTTCAAAGCAGGGAGCAACAGAACACGGGTGTAGTGAGGAATAAAACGCGTCTCAAATGCAACCTCCTTGTTGCACCATGCCGAGCACTCCATGCCCCTGGACCCCCTTTGAAAGCAGGGAACAACAGCACACGGGTGAGCACTCCGCATAATGTATTCAGGAATCGTGCATCAATGCTGGCTACATTCTTGGTCCAGACGGCCACGACACCTGGCAAAAAAACACTAAGAAACACATGGCCGTACTCTCACCTCTGTCCCAGCTGCATCTTTCCTCGGAATCCATAGGAATGCCCAGAAATGCACGTTTTCACCAGCCGTCCTCATTCTCCTCGACCCGCCTGTTCACCCGTGCTGCTATTAGGGTGCTTCGCTGGGGTAATGCCGTCCCAGGTGTCTCGTAAGTTGTTTCACCACGGCTGCTTATCACACTCGAGCCGAGTTTGTCGTCGCACTCGAGCCGGATTTGTCGTCGCCACTGCAGCGCGTGATTGCACACACCGAGCACTGGCCTTCACGATGATGAGGCAGCGCCCCGGCCCGCGCGGCTCCGCGACGAACCGCCTCATGTCCATGCCGTGCTCACGGACGGCCTCGACGACCTCCCTCATCACCCCCGGCCGGTCCTGAGGGTCGGCAGGCCCAGGGGGAAGGTGGGGAGGGGGGGCAGGCCTTCGCAGAGGGGGCCGGGGCTTCCGGGAAGCCCCTCGCGCCTTCTGAGAAGTTTGCTGCGTCGTCGGGGAAGAGGCTTCGCAAGAGGCCAGAGGCCTTCCAAGCCTCCTGAGAAGGCACGCCCCCTCTGCTCCCTGGGCTCGCCGCCGAAAGGGGCGACGTCAGGGGGGGACTGGCTCAGGGGGGGGGGGGCGACATCGAGCGCGAATCGGCGACATATCGCCGATAGATTGGCGACAGGCTCCCGATGGCGATTCCGAACGGTCCTGGGCGGGGTGGCCTTTCGGGCTCCCATCGGCGATGAATGGGCGATTGGGGGCTGGGGCGTCCCACCTGCTCGCGCCTGGTGGTCTTCGTGTCAGACCTCGGCTCTCCGGCGGCCGTCTGGGACGATCCGGGCACCCCCCGAGCGCTCGAGGAGGCGCAGCTCCGCAAGCCTCCGAGAACCTCCGAGGCCGACAACCTGCCAGCCACCCCTGACGTTGCCCCCGAGGTCCTCCACGAGCATCACGAAGCTCAGCGCCGTCGAGGCCTCCGCCGTCTCCGGCAGCGCCGCGTGCAGCGCCGCCTCGGCGTACTCGTAGCCCGCGTCGCCGAGGGGCAGCGCCAGCTGGAGCGCCAGGACCTGCGCACTCACCTCGAGGCACGAGAAGCGGCACACGGCTGGCACTGAGAAGACACTGTGCCACACCCCCGTGAGGTGGTCCCCCCGCGAGGGCCCCTGCTGCACGCGCGATCCCCGCCAGGGCTTCCGCGGCACACGCAGTCCCCAAGGCGGGGGGGAGGGAGCGTGAGAAGCGGGCCGGCGGCGCCACGTCGCACGCCAGCTCTCCAGCGCCAACCGCAAGCATGAGCTCTCGGAGCTCCGCGCAGATCCCTTGGATCTGCACGGGTGCCCCCCCTGGCCATCGCTCGGACGTCCAGTTCCTGTGTTTTTCTCGGTTTCGTGCGTGGTTTTGTCGCGAAATGATCAAGGATGCTCCTCGATGATCCTCGCCGAAGGAAAAATGCACACGTCCGAGCGACGCCAAGCCCCCTGGCGGCGCCTCCGCGCGCCAGGCATCGCGGAGCGCGCCAGGGTCGGCACTGCACGCGGAGCGTGCGGAGCGCGCCGGGGGCGACGCTGCGCTGGAGGCGCCGCCGGGGGGGCCCAGCGCCGATGCAAGCAATCCGTGCGGACCTTCGGAGGTTTGTGCTTATGCCGCTGTGGGTTTCGCTACGGTCGAGAACTTTTGCTTAGCGTGGCGCGGCGGCAGCCTCAGCGACACGCTACGCCCGGCGAGCTAAAAGCGTGTCGCGCCGCTCTGCAGGGGGGGAGGCTGGGAAAGGCTCGGGACGCTGATGATTAGGCATTGGGACGTGGTTGACGTGTCGCGCCGAAGCCGAGGCCGAAGCTGATTCTCCCGATGCGCGGTCTCCAGAAGCTTCGTTTTGCTAAGGTCCTGAGCCCGGCGAGGGCCCCGAGAAAGGGTGACGAAATCAATACATATCCACTGCTCCCTGGCCAGGCCCATCCTGAACCCAGCAGCGGTGCATATGCCACGCCCTCCTGGCTTGGCCAGGAGGGCGTATACACAGCTCCTGGGTTCAGGATGGGCCTGGCCAGGAAGCAGTGGATGTGTATAGATTTCGTCGCCCGCCTCTCCTGCCGCGACTCCTCCAAGTCGCGAGCGCGACGGGGTCGCCAGCTCCACAGGCAACGCCCCGCGCCCGACGGCCGCGAACACGCCGCCGCCGAGCCTGGCCAGGAGGTCCGGGTCCAGGCTGTGGAGGAGGAGCTCCTCGCGCACGGCCTCCTCTGGCGGCGCGCACAAGAGGGTGGGGGGGGAGGGGGGGGAGGCGTCTTAAAGGGAGGCTGCTTCTTGGAGGGCGCCGGCCTCACATCTGCAGACAACGCCCGCGCCCTCTGAGAAGCAGTGGTGCCTCCAAGAAGCCTTCCCCCCTCCCCCCTGCCCCCCTCAGCGCGCGGCCGACTCCTCGCCCTCGCGCGCCGCCTCCTCCTCGCTGAGCATCTCCGTCCGCGCCGCCACGAGCGCGGCGCGCGCCCGGGAGGTGCGCAGGTAGCGCAGGTGCACACCGCCCCACTCGCGGGGCGGCACCGCGCCCTCCTCCGGGGGGGGGGCCCGAGGCGGTGCGGCGACGGATCGCGCGGCGGCCTCGCCGCACAGTCTGTCGCCGCACCGTCCGTGCCGGGGGCAGCCAGGAGGGGGGTGATGACCAGGGGGGGGGGGGGAGGACATCATGGCGGGGGCCATGGTGCATCCCCAGATCTCATGGCACCGCGGCGCATCTCAATACGTCCCCGGGCCCCCCCCCCCCCCCCCTGGGCTGCGCACATGCCGCCGGCCATGACTTGCGACCTCCCCCCGCCTCGTGGACGCCCCCCGCACGGTCCGTCACCGCCGCACGGCTCTGGGACCCTGGAGGCCCCAGTCGCCCGAGGCATCCTCGGAGAACGACCCGGATGCCAAACACACGCGGTCACCCCTGGAAGAAGAAGCAGCTGCATAAACGTAAAATCGCTCGGAGCTCCGAAAGTTCATGCTTGTGCAACGCTTTTCTTCTTCGAACCCCGAACCCCCAGCGACTCACCTCGCAGCGTGGTCGCGCCACACCGATCGGGGGCAGGAGAGCCCAGAATCGGATCGATAAATCGGGTCGGCGATCGAAATGAATAGGATCGGCAGAAAATCGGCAGTCGAGCCCGGAAAAGTCGAATCGGCGGAAATCGGCAAGCGAACAAGCCTCCGATGAGAAGTCGGAACCCGAATCGGAATCCCACATCGAATCGAATCGGAATCGGAATCGGAATCCATCGGAATCGAACCGACTCGAACCGAATCGAATCGGAGGAATCGAGATGAGCCCTGCGGGGGCCCCCGAGCTCCCCACGCAGCTGCACGATCACGGTCTGCCCCTCCCGCAGCCTCGCGTGCAGCGGGGCGGCGGAGCCGTCGATCATCACCGAGTCGGCCCGCAGGCCCTTCTTGGCCTCGAGAGCGAGGATCGAGGAGCAGGTGGAGAATCGAGGATCGAGGAGCAGGAGAAGGAGGAGGAGGAGGAGGAGGAGGAGGAGCGAGGAGGAGGAGGAGCGAGGATGATCGAGGAGCAAGGACCGAGGAGCAAGGACCGAGGAGCGAGGAGGAGGAGGAGGAGGAGGAGGAGGAGGAGGAGAAAGAGGAGGAGGAGGAGGAGGAGGAGGAGGAAGAGGAGGAAGAGGAGGAGGAGGAGGAGGAGGAGATGAGCGAGGAGGAGGAGCGAGGAGCGAGGAGCGAGGACCAAGGAGAGAGGAGGAGGAGGAGGAGGAGGAGGAGGAGGAGGAGGAGGAGGACCAGTGTAAACCCAAGTATCATCAACGATATTGTAAGAAACCCTCCCTCCAAGCTCCCTCTTCATGGGCCCCTACAGCAGTTCATTCCCATCGAGGGAACTGGCTCGTTCGAAGACAACAATTTGAAAACCCGGATGCATGCCAAAACATTGCTCTCGGATTTCAACGCCACGGATCAACCTGACAGTTGCATCTTGACAGTCCGGAATCGTGCCAGAACGCCGTTTCTGGGACTCCAACACCGCGAATCAACATAACTGCTGCACCCGCATAAATCATAAATCCTTCCAGAACACAACTTCTAGTACGTTGATTTTGGGAGTTCGTGAAACTCTTGCAAATAGTTGAAACGAATGTGCGCGGCGCTAAAGCGAGAGCCACATTTTGAAAAGGAACCGTCTTCAATCCGTGAAACTCTTGCAAAGTTTTAAAAAGCGAATGAGCGCGGCGCGAAGGCGAGAGCCACATTTTGGAAACCACCTGCCTTCAACCCGTGAAACTCTTGCAAGTCTAAAACGAAGTTACGCGGCGCTAAGGCGAGAGCCACAGTTTGAAAACGACCCGCCCTCAATCCGTGAAACCCTTGCATCTTTAGTTTATAGCAATAAGTGCGAAAGGAAAAAAACAAAACAAAGCAAACAACGAATGCACGCGGCGCTAAGGCGAGAGCCACATTTTGAAAACGACCCGCCCTCCATCTTTGAAACTGATGTCACTTTTGAAGCTTCAGGATCACACATGGCGAGGAAGTCTCAGGCGAAACGCCCGGCCCGCCCTAAAAACTGGCCTCGGGGTGCGACAGGGAGAAGTTAGTTATAAGGAAAAGAATGGAGGAGGAGGAGGAGGAGGAGGAGGAGGAGGAATCCGTAGCCATTTTGGCTCAAGCTCCGCTTGGACCCCGAACGGGGTCCAAACGGGGTGAGAGCCCTGTAGCCTGTCTGGCTCAGTAGCGCCGCCCTCGCGTCGGATCTCCTCGGGGCGCGCGGCGGGGCGGAAGATACGGGCACGTCGTTAGCGGTAGCGCGCGGCGTAAATTCCAACATTTTGCTGGTGCCTGGGGGGGCCTCCTCCCCCACTCGCCTCCATGGGCCTCCCTGGTGGCGGCGCGGGGCAAGGAGACGACGCCGAGACCATGAAGGACCTCTTCAAGTCTCAATCAAAGAGCCTGTACAAGACCAAGGCGCCCCCGTGGGACGAGGAGTCTCTGACGAAGCTCGTGGAGGCTCCCGCCGTGGCGTGGTGATCCTCAGGCTTGGGGCATCGCTGGCAAGCTGTACAAGTCGGCGGCCACCGACGCCTTCGCTTCAAGTATTGGAATTCATTGTGGATGGTGGGTATCTGCCCTCTCAGGTGGTCAGAGTGCTAGGGGCCTCAGGCCCTAGTAGCACACCGCCTGAGGTCAGAGGCTGTATTCAGTTCAAGTTTGTTGTGTTTCCATGGCTTGGGCTGTGGTTCACACTCACCGCGATATTCTTCCTTACGCCGAGGTGGTGTTCTTGCGTGGCCACGGGGGCGGCAAGCTACGGATCAGACGATTTCACAGAGGCAGTTTCAGTTGCTGTGCTGTATGGTGTGCACCTGCCCTGGCGGCAGGGAGGTTGCATGAGTATCCTAGCATGTACGAGCTGAGTCTGGTGGGAGAGACAGTTTCGGTTGCTGTGTTGTATGGTGTGCACTTGCCCTGGCGGCTGGGAGGTTGCATAAGTATCCTGGCATGTACGAGCCGATGCTGGTGGTTGTTCGTGCTGTCGTTTGTCCGTGGGTCGGCCGTCGCGTGCTTCCTCTCAATCAGTGGTGCGGCGCAGTTCGGGCGGTGGTGTTCATCGTTTTCGGCTCCGCGCTGCTCGTGTTTGGCACGGAGGTGTACGAAGAGGACGTCGAGGAGGTCCTCTTCTGAGAGTGCGTTGCTCGGGCTATCTTTCGCTGAAGGATAGACTCGTCAGAGGCTCCAGAGGCTCCAGAGGCTCCAGAGGAGGAGGAGGAGGAGGAGGAGGAGGAGGAGGAAGAGGAGGATAGAGGATCAACAACAAGTTGGCCCGCAGGCCCGTCTTGGCCTCAGGATCGAGGGTCGAGGAGGAGGTGGAGGATCGAGGATCGAGGATCGCGAAGGAGGAAGAGGAGGAGCGAGGATCGAGGAGGAGGAAAAGGAACAGGTTCGAGGATCGAGGATGGAAGGCCGAGGCCTCCAGGTTCCACACCGCGAAGTCCAGCGCCGTGGCGTCGCGGGGGAGGAACACCACGCGGCCGGTGGGCGTGAACACCGTTACCTAGGACGCTTAAGGACATACCAGTGCTGTATTCCTCTGTTGGAGACGCACGTCCGACCCGAGCATGACCACAGCACAATCTTGTAGCACATCGTTTCCCGAGCAGCGTGGCCAGAGAGCGCCCGCCACCGGAGCTCACGCTATGGGAGTTCGGAGCCCGCGCGTCGCCCTCGCGGGGCCGACAAACGCATGTCGTACAAGTAGTATGTTTGTGTGGTGCCGGTCACCTTCTCGCGCAGCGCCTCGTTGTACGCGCGGTGCACCGAGCCCAGGGAGCTGCTCCATCCGCCCACCTCGGGCTGCGCGGGGCCACACGAGGGGCAGCGTTCGGAGGTGACCAGCTGAGGAGGGGGGAAGCATCGAGCACGAATCGGCGATGCATGGCGGATAGATAGGCGATGGGCCCCTGATAGCGAATCCGAACACTCCTGGGCGGGGTGGAGCTATCGGGGCCCAATCGGCGATCAATAGGCGATTGGGGATCGATGCATCCCCCCCCCCAAGCCTATCGCTTCCCAACGTTACTCCCAACTAGAATGCGCCCGACAGCGAGGCGGGCCCCCGATGGCCAAAGGCTGGAGGGGCAGAATTTACCGAGCCCCCCACAGAGGCCTGGGCCACCTGCCGGGAAGCTGGAGAGACACGCGGCTGGATTCCCGTACGGACCCTCCGGAGGCCCCGCGCTGGATGCTCACGCGGAGGCCCCGCGCGCCTGGCCACGGAGGGGCCGTGCGCTGGAAAGACATCTGGCCACACGTGCATTCAGCTCTCGCCCGGGCCGGCCGCGTCAGGTGTAGCCGGCCTCCCGGTGGGCCGCCTGACCCAGCGCCTGGCGCACCGCGACGCACGGCGCGCGAGTTGCCCTGGCGCCCTCGGGCCGCCGCCCTGGAGAAGAGCACCCTGGCGGCAGGCGCCCCCCCTGGGCGCGGAGGCGCGGTCACCCTCGCGGCCCGTTCCGCGCGCCGGGCGGCAGCGCGGGGTGGGCAACGGCAGGGGCAGGAGCAGGGGCCCTCGCCCTGCCTCTCGGGGGCCTCTTGGGGCCTCCCAGGGGCTTCTTGGGGCCGAAGGCTCGACTCGTCGGTTCATGTTCCCCCTCGTGGGGCTGGCCTGGGGCCTTCATGAGCTGTCTCGGGCGCCTCTTGGGCCGTTTCCAGGCCCTCTCGGGCCGTCTTGGAGCCTTCTTGGGGGCACCTGGGATTGTCTTTGGGTGTTGTCGGGGGCCTCTTGGGCCGTCTTGGAGCGTCGGAAGCTCGAACGAAAAATGAGAACCACAAAACATAGAAAAACCTACAGGAGATCACTGATCTTTGCCTCTTGGGGCCCTCTTGGGAGTCCTCTTGGAGTGCTCTTGGGGCCTCTTGAGGGCCTCTTGGTCCGTCTTGGGGCCATGTTGGGCGTGTAGGACCTTTCTTGGGCCGCCCTGGCGGCGTTGCCGCCCCCTCCCCTTCTCCCCCTCCTGGGCATAGCCGCCCCCACACCCTTTCTCCTGCGGCGCGGGAGCGGCCCAGGAACTGGTCCCCCACCTCCCAGCAGAGCTGAAGCTCAGGCCGCAGCTCGTTTAAACTCACACGCCGGATCGGCGGATATCCTTATCCCTGTATCCTTAGCTCTACATCCTGATGTCTACCCCTATCCCTATCCCCATCCCGATCCCCCATCCCGATCCCTTCATTGTGGCCCCCATCGTGGCCCCCTATCGTAAGGGTGTCAAGCTGCTTAGGGTTTTCTGCCGCAAGGGTGCCATGTTTTCGATCTGGGCCTCTCTCCCAGTCCCGAGCACTGAGGGCCGTCTGACTACCCACGGGGAGGTGATCGGGAGGTCTGGGGCCGCGGGTCGAACAACTCACGTCGTCGGGTGTGCGGGCATGGGGAGGAGGGCAATGGGCTCCCAAAAGGCCACCAAGAGGCCAGAAGAGGCTCCCAAGAGGCCCAACAGAGGCTCCCAAACGGCCCTCAAGAGGGGTTACAACTGCCGCCAAGAAGCCCCCGAGACGCTTCCCACGAGATCCCAACAAACCTCCAAAAAGCCTCGGACCCACAACCCAGGCACGATGGTGGGATGAGCCGAAGGCCACCAGATAAGAGAAGATAGAAATGAAGGGAGGGAACAGTCGACCATTAAATATTCACGCTGCGACCCGCCCAACGACCCACCAACGAGCCAACCCGTCCGGGAGTTAGCCCACGAATAACCTCGACTGACGCGCACGACGCAAACATTGCATGTAACATATACTGCCTAAGGCGACTGCCAAAACCCTTCTCCCACCCCCCTTTTCCCCACTTCCCCCTCCCTCCTCATCCTCCCTCATGCCTCCTCGAGGTAACGCTTACAAGCGATTTGAAAGACGAGAGCGCACGGAGCGTCCCGGAGAGTCCCGGATCGACGGCACAGGCCGGAGGCCTCTACAATGGGGATAAGGATCGGGATGGAGATGGGAATAGGGACGGGGACGAGGATGCGGGATGGGACTAGGGATGAAAGGGATAATAGAAGGGATAGGGATATGGATAGGGATTGGGGCAGGGGCCTACTCGTCTCACCAGCCCTTGGGTGGAGGTAGTCGAACGATATTATTGTTTCATGTTCCAAAACTCTCTTCCCTCCGGGAAGGGGTGCCCTGCCCCGCCTCCATGAAGCTTGTTGGGGGGGTCCGCGATGTGTCAGGGAATCCTTTTTCGCTCAAGATGGCTCCAAGAAGGATGCTCCACGATGGCCACGAAGATGGCTCAAGATAGCCAAAGTTTATGGTGACTTCTGGTATGCGTCCAAGGGGCCCCAAGATGACCACAAGATGGCTCCAAGTGCTCTCGCAACCCCCATCAAGACTTCCCCAAGAGGCCAATAGCCTGGCGAAGGACCCAACCATATGCAGGTGTGAATACCGCAACTGTGAATACCATCTTCGCCCGCGCTCCCTATGTGACCACGGCTTCCCGCCGGAGCCCGACATGCTCAGGAACACGTTCGTGGCCGTCTTCGCGGTCGCCGACGACGACAAGGACGGCGCCCCTCTGACCGAGGAGCAAAAGCAGGAGATTGCTTTGAGAGCCATGAGGGAGGAGGTGGCGTTGCACGTCGACAAGGCGGAGTAGGACGCCCAGGCGCGGTTGTTGAAGCAGTACAACTATGGGGCCACGATCCTCGTGAGTGGTGTGCCGTAATGGCACGGGGCCGCCATGCGAACCCTGCCACTGGCGCCTTCTGTGGAGCTCCTGTGGGGCCACGATCCTCGTGAGGGGTGTGCCGAAATGGCCCGAGGCCGCCATGCGAACCTTGCCACTGGCGCCTTCGCTGGAGCTCCTACGGGGCCACGATCCTCGTGAGGGGTCTGCCGAAATGGCCCGAGGCCGCCATGCGAACCCTGCCACTGGGGGCCTTCGGCGGAGCTCCCTATGGGGCCACGATCCTCGTGAGGGGTGTGCCGAAATGGCCCGAGGCCGCCATGCGAACCCTGCCACTGGAGCCTTCGGTGGAGCTCCCTATGGGGCCACGATCCTCGTGAGGGGTGTGCCGAAATGGCCCGAGGCCGCCATGCGAACCCTGCCACTGGCGCCTTCGGTGGAGCTCCCTATGGGGCCACGATCCTCGTGAGGGGTGTGCCGAAATGGCCCGAGGCCGCCATGCGAACCCTGCCACTGGCGCCTTCGGTGGAGCTCCCTATGGGGCCACGATCCTCGTGAGGGGTGTGCCGAAATGGCCCGAGGCCGCCATGCGAACCCTGCCACCGGCGCGGTGGAGCTCCCTATGGGGCCACGATCCTTGTGAGGGGTGTGCCGAAATGGCCCGAGGCCGCCATGCGAACCCTGCCACTGGCGCCTTCGGTGGAGCTCCTTATGGGGCCACGATCCTCGTGAGGGGTGTGCCGAAATGGCCCGAGGCCGCCATGCGAACCCTGCCACTGGGCCTTCGGTGGAGCTCCCTATGGGGCCACGATCCTCGTGAGGGGTGTGCCGAAATGGCCCGAGGCCGCCATGCGAACCCTGCCACTGGCGCCTTCGGTGGAGCTCCCTATGGGGCCACGATCCTCGTGAGGGGTGTGCCGAAATGGCCCGAGGCCGCCATGCGAACCCTGCCACTGGCGCCTTCGGTGGAGCTCCCTATGGGGCCACGATCCTCGAGGGGTGTGCCGAAATGGCCCGAGGCCGCCACGCGAACCCTGCCACTGGCGCCTTCGGTGGAGCTCCCTATGGGTCCACGATCCTCGTGAGGGGTGTGCCGAAATGGCCCGAGGCCGCCATGCGAACCCTGCCACTGGCGCCTTCGGTGAAGCTCCTTATGGGGCCACGATCTTCGTGAGGGGTGTGCCGAAATGGCCCGAGGCCGCCATGCGAACCCTGCCGCTGGCGCCTTCGGTGGAGCTCCCCATGTGGCCACGATCCTGGTGAGGGGTGTGCCGAAATGGCCCGAGGCCACCATGCGAACCCTGCCACTGGGGCCTTCGGTGGAGCTCCCTATGGGGCCACGATCCTCGTGAGGGGTGTGCCGAAATGGCCCGAGGCCGCCATGCGAACCCTGCCACTGGGGCCTTCGGTGGAGCTCCCTATGGGGCCACGATCCTCGTGAGGGGTGTGCCGAAATGGCCCGAGGCCGCCATGCGAACCCTGCCACTGGGGGCCTTCGGTGGAGCTCCCTATGGGGCCACGATCCTCGTGAGGGGTGTGCCGAAATGGCACGAGGCCGCCATGCTCCCTTTGGGGCGCAACGAAACAAATTTCGGTCGGGAACTTTTGGATAGCGTGTCGCCGCGGCGGCCCTGGCAACATGCTATTCCGCGGATAGCCTGTCGCTCCGCTTCGCGGGGCGCGAGGCTCGGAAAGGCTCGGGACATTGACGCTGGGGTCGGGAGGTGGATAGCGTGCCGCGCCGAAGCGTGATGGGCCAGAATCGGCGGAGCGACAGGCTGTTCCAAAGTTCCCGGCCGTCAGGCACAGACAGGAGAAGGGAAGACCAGCAGGAGGAGGACAATCCCACCTGGCACACGCCCCTGCAGGGCTCCCTGCCGCCAGCGCAGCCGCACGCCGCCTGGGCCACCTGCGAGGCGGCTTGTCAGGCGCGTCCCCACTTGCAGACACGGACGGGGCTGGAGAATCGGGCGTTCCCAGAGGTGGCCCTGGCCCGAGGTGCCCCCCAGCATTTCGCGCGCCGCTCTGGGGCCCCCCTGGGCCTCCCCCCCCCCTCCTTGCCTCGCGAAGGGGTGCTCTGGTCGCAGCCTGGGCCTCCCCGTGAAGGCCGGGGCCACCTGGTGCCGGAGCCACCTCTGGCAGCACCCGGGGGAAGCGAGCGGGCGAAGCGTCTATCTGGCCCTGCTGCGGGCAGAGAGCTGCGCCCGCTAGGGCGGGACGAGAAGGGCCGTGGCCCATGGAGAAGTGGTTGCATGGCCTCGTGCCTCGGAGAAGTAGAGTAGGCAAATCTGATAACAGATCCTGCTGCCAGAAAACTTGGGGCACATTCTTCGTCGATGTCTTAGGATCTTCAGGTGCCCCAGAGCTTCGGTGGGCCCCCAGTGCCACCAGCCCTTTAGGGCGTAGGTGGTTTAGAGCGCTTCCTCTTCCAACCCCCATTCTTCCCCTTCGGGGACAGGTCGTTGACCAGACGGGGAGGTTCACGACCGATTGGAGCGTGCAAGATGGCCCAAAATGGCTCCAAAAGGACCTCCGAGAGCCGGAGATGAACTCCAAGCTGGCTCGAGATGGCTCCAGATACCTCAAGATGGCTTCCGACATGCTCGAAGAGGCTCCCAAACCGCCCACACACAACTCCAAGTGGCCACGGAGCCTCCCAAGGAAGCCACCAAGAAGCCAAAAACCTTCAAAAACCAATGGAAATCTATGTGTTGCCTTCTTGCCGTTTCGCTTTCGACGGCCCTCCGAGGCCTCAAGATGGCTCCAAGAAGGCCCGAGAGAGTCCCAAGAGGAGCCCGACAGGGTCCCAAGACGGTCCCAAGAGCGCCCAAGAGCGCTCCAAGAGGGATCCAAGAGGCGGTTTCAGGAGCTCCAGAGGGGCGAGGCTAATTGAGCCCCCCCTTTGAGCGAGCTCCTCCTAGATGGCCCCAAGATGGACCCCAAGGCTCCCAAGAGTGCCTCAATAGGGGCCCCAAAGGCGCCCAGAAGGCCCCATGAGCGCCCGAGAGGTCCCCAAAATGCTCCCAAGAGGCCCCCACGAGGCCCCAAGTGGCTTCCCCTGGGCACACAAGACGCTCCAAGAGGCCCCGTGGACCGCCGAGAGGCCCCCAAGACGCTCCACGAGGACTCCAAGAAGCTTTCCCAAAGAGTCTCTGAGAAGCATCCAAGAGGCCTATGGCCTTTCTACTCGTCCTCCTCCTCCTCCTCCTCCTCCTCCTCCTCCTCCTCGTCATCCTCCTCCTCATCATCATCAGCATCAGCATCAGCATCAGCATCAGCATCAGCATTAGCATCATCATCATCATCATCATCATCATCATCATCATCAGCAGCAGCAGCAGCAGCATCATCATCATCATCATCATCATCATCATCACCAGAATCATCATCATCAACATCATCAGCAGCAGCATCAGCATCAGCATCCGCATCCGCATCAGCATCGTCATCATCATAATCAGCATCCTCAGCATCATCACCACCATCATCACCAGCATCATCATGACCATCATCATCAGCACCATCATCATCAGCAGCATCATCATCAGCATCATCAGAAGCATCATAATAACCATCAACATCATAATCATAAGCATCATCATCAGCAGCATTATCATCAGCATGATCATCATCATCATCATCATCATGATCATCATCAGCATCATCATCATCATCATCATCATCATCAGCATCATCATCATCATCATCATCATCAGCATCATCATCATCGTCCGCCTGTTTCGCCTCCCCCCTCCTCCCTTTCACCCTCCCCCTCCTCCGACGGCGACGATTCCTCCTCCATCCTCCCCCTCTTGAGATATGACTGCTTTCCTAGCCCTTTGATAAATCCATTGCATGCTCCTCCACATCCTTAATCAGGGCACCTCGCCTGGGCGTCGTTTCTGGATGGGCTGCTGGGTTTTTTTGGTCGCAGCTGCAAGCGAAGGTGCAGGCGGCGTCAAGGGTCGACCCAGGCTACGGGCGGAGCCTAATTATGCTGGGGGGGGTATTTCGCGAGCGTCGCGGTCCAACCGCGCGCCGTCCGAACACGCGCAACTGACGAGCAGCGGGCTGAACTAGGCCCTACAACTGGTGGGATTACGCGAAGCGTCTAGAATAAGAAAACGTCGTCGGGCACCTGCAGGAAGGCCGATTTTTGACTTGACGTGCCGACTGTAGGAGGAGGGGACACAAGGAAGCAGGGGAGGAGGAGAAAACTGATGCCAGAAGCCTGTCCAGCTGAGGAAGAGACGGGGTAGGACCGAGGCAGAGCACGACGGAGGCCTCGCGCGTGCAGGACCGACGACACTGGGGGGGAAACGAGTCAACAGAGGCGGTGATCGGCCTCCTCCTTCTCCTCCTCCTCCTCCTCCTCCTCCTGCTCTCCTTCCTCCTCCCATTCCGTCTCCTCCTCCGGAGGGTGAGGAAGCAAAAACTGCACAAACCTAAAGTTTGGGAGCTCCGCGCCGACTTCTTGGATCGGCACTGGGCCCCCTCCCTGGCGCTCGGAGCGCTCCACGGGCGACGTCGGAGGCGCCGCAAGGGAGGCCCCGCGCGGGTCCAAGAGATCCGCGCGGGGCTCCGAAAGTTGCTTCCCTAAGCAGTGCTTGCGCTCATGGGGTTCTCACTTGCTTCACCAAGGAAGTGAATGGGTAACCCGAGGATTCTTTGGTGGCCGCCCTGTGGCCGCCCGTGGCCGCTTAACTTAGCTTGCATCACATATCTTGCACCACCTAGTTTACACCGCATAGCGTACACCACATCTATTGTATCACCCGAGAAGACACCAGATAGCTTGCACCATACAGCTTGTACCCCTTAGCTTGCACCTCATCCCTTACGCACCACGCAGTTTGAACCACGTATACGGCATCACAGAGCTTACACCAAAGTGACTGCACCAAACATCCTACAGGTCCACAGCGCAACAACTGACATTCCCCAAACAGTGTTTGCACTTAGGGAGTCTGACTTGTCTTACTACGGAATTGGTGGGGTCTTGCGAGGATTCACCACTTGCCGCACGTGGCCGCCTCGTGGCCGCCTCGTGCGCTTGGTGAGTCTGGCGAGGATTCGCCAGGTTGCCGCCCGTGGCCGCCTCTAGCTTGCACCACGTATACTGCACCACATGGCTTGCACCACGCTTGCACCTTCTAGCTTACACATCCACAATACAATAATAACTTACTGTTTGGGGTCCACGCTGGCTAACATGTTCATGTCCTGTTTCTTACTCGAGCCTCTGCCCTTGCACCACTGTTACGCACCCTATCGCATGTGCCGGTCAAGGGAGGAGCGAAATCGCACACGGATCGACCGCGTTCTCCAGGCGAGCACCGACGGCGAGGATCAGTCAAATCGGCGAAAATCGGCAGCGGGAACCGACCACGAGAACCTAACAAATCGCGCCGACTTCTTGCCTAATCGACAAAGCCACAGGAGGTTGGCGCCGAATCCCGTGGACCGCGGTTGCGCGGAAGCCGACGCCAAGAGAGCCTCCGAGCGAATATCACCAGGCCGCCGACGGAGCCGAGAGGAGCAGCTCGAGCCCTCCGCACGTTCCGTCGCGAAGCCGCGTCGCGGCCCCCAGACATCTCAAGCGTGTCCGACACACTGGCCCCCGGACCTTTTTATTCGCGATAGCGCCCGTGACCGGCCCCGCCGACCCCCCACCCTGCCCCTTGTCACGTCACGCTTCGCGCTGGCGCCGCCTGGTACTTGGCCATTCTTGATTTAGCATTCCAAGACGGCGCCAGCGCGAATCGTGACGTGACCGGCCTCCTCCCCCTCCTCCCCGGGTCACGCCCGGTATCGCCAGGAGATAAAAGAGCAGCCTCCTGAACTAGCCCCTTTGATCCGACGTCGCGAACAAAAAATTAACATCGAAGGAAATCACGATTAGGAGCCATAGACTCATCTTTCTGCGCCATGTTTCGAGCTGGATCGATCTGTGAGGGTCCTGGGTCCCAAATCTGGGCGAAAACACGGGCTCGAAATGATTGAGAAGCCGGGATCTCAGGGTGAAAAACCATATTCTGGAACCACTGACCCCCAGAGGCCGAAAATACGAAGAAGCCAGCCGCCTCGACCTTCTCGAACGATAGGTGGGGATAGGCACAGGAGAGATGCATCGACCTCGAATGGCAATACATCGCCCATGCAGCGTCGATACTTCCTCGATGCAGACACTTCGTCAATGCAGACCGCCTCATGCATCGCCTCTACATCGCCAGAATATCAAACATACATCGTCGATGCATCAGCCATTCGAGACCGATGCATCCCCCCCCCTTGTGCCCATCCCCCCTCTCTCGTTGCCCCCGGCTCGAGCCGTCGGATGCCTGGGGCTGCCCTGCCGCCCGGAGAGCCAGTCGGCCGCCGAGACGACCGAGCCGACGGGGCCCGCGGGCCGAACCCGGATCCTCCCAGAGGCATCCGACGCCTCGAGCTGTGTCAACGCGGTGGGGGCATGTGGAACACAGAGACTGGACTTTTCTCGTCGTTTTCGGCATCTGGATGCCACGGCGGGGCCGCGCGACCGTCAAACAAAGCGACTCGGGATGAAGATCCGGCCCTGAGGAAAAGGTTGGGATTTGGGGGGGGCCGCGCGCGGTGAGGACTTTGGACAAAAAACCATCGGATAAGGAATCCGGGGTCTGAAACCGGTGGAGGAGGAGGAAGAGGAGGAGGAGGAGGAGGAGGAGGAGGAGGAGGAGGAGGGAGGAGGAGCAGGAAGGAGGGAGGAGGGAGGAGAGGGAGGAGGAGGAGGAGGAGGAGTAGGAGGAGGAGGAGGAGGAGGAGGAGGAGGAGGGGGTGGAACTGCAACCGTGGAGCGGCCGTGGACATCACCCGCCGCCCTCAATAGATAAAAGGAATCCTCCAGAGTCGGAAGCCTTCGCCCAGACCGCACGCGGCCCCCCGAAGGCCTCGACACAGCAAGGGGCACGGAGACCGCAATCCCCGACTTTGTGGGGTTTTTGACTGGACTGCAAATTTGGGGCAAAACTCGGGGGTACACGACGGGGGGGCGTCCATCCTCGATAGGCACGCGTCTGGACATGGCCCCCTGGGGGCGAACCCCCGAGCGCCATGCCTTGTCTCAGCGACCTGCTTTTGCGGAGGAAAATCGGGCACTGGGGGCGACATACCTCCCGCGACAGCCCTTTCCCCAGAGCCGGCTTCCCATCCCGAGCAAATGTTTGACGATCCCAGGACCCGGCGAGGGCCCCCACATGCCGAAAACAGCGAAAAACGTACGTTTGGACTTTTCCCATACGCGGGGTGTCTGGCTCTGCCTTCCCACTGGGACAGCCAATTGGCCGCCGCCGAGACGGCCGAGCCCACGGGGCCCGCGGGCCCCGTCTCTCATTCTCACTGACGCCGCAGCGCCCTCTCACTGATCGATCGATCGAGCCGACCCTTCCCCACCGACGCCGCAGAGCACGCGGCGGCACGCGGCCGCACCTGCTCCAGCAGCGGCTCCAGATCCTGGCGCAGGTCCTCCCGCAGGTCCTCCCGCTCCATGCTCGCGGCGCTGCTGTCCTGCTCCTCTGGGCGCGGACCGAGCACCCCCTTGACCGAGAGGAAGCTCTGGGACTCCGGAATTCCGACAACCGACGAACGAAGACGACGACGACGACGACGCCGCCGCCGCCGCCGCCGCCGCCGACGACGACGACGACGACGACGACGACGACGACGACGACGACGACGACGACGACGGCGACGACGAGCGACGACGACGACGACGACGACGGCGGCGACGACGACGACGACGACGACGGACGACCGGCGACCGACTGACGACGGACGACGGACGACGGGCAACGACAACAACGACGACGACGACGAAGACGACGACGAAGACGACGACGACGGACAAGCGACGACCACGGACGACGACGACCGACGACGACGACGACGACGAGCGACGGACGACCGATGACCGACGACCGACGACGCACGACGACGACGAGGACGACGACGACGACGACGACGACGACAATGACGACGAGGAGCGACGGACGACGACGACGACGACGACGACGACGTTGACGACGTCGACGACGGACCAGCGACGGACGACCGACGAACGACGACGACGCGACGACGGACGACGGACGACAAAAGACGGACGACGGAAGACGGACGACGGAAGATTGACCACGGGGGACACACGACCGAAGACACCCGACGGACGACGGACAACGGGCGACGACAATGACGACGACGACGACGACGTTGACGACGACGACGACAACAACAAACTTCAACAACAACGACGACGAAGACGATGACGACGACGAGGACGACGCCGACGCCGACGCCGAAGCCGACGACGACGACGAACGACGACCGACGACGACGACGACGACAACCGACGACGACGACGACGCCACCGCCGCCGCCGCCGCCGCCGACGACGACGACGGCGACGACGACGACAAACGACGACGACGGCGACGACGACCGACGGACGACGAGGACGACGACAACGACGAGCGACGACGAGCGACGACGACGACGACGACGACGACGACGACGACGACGACGACGACGACGACGACGACGACGACGGACGACGACTCTCCAGCCCAGGCTGCGACGCGCGAAGCACGATCGCCTTCGGGCCTCTGTGAGTGGTCTCTGCGGGTGGGCCAGGCGTTCCCTCCCTTGGGCGCGGCGGGCCCTTGCCGTGACAACATGCGCGCGGGCGTCTGACGCCGCGTCGACCGTTTGGCCTTGAACGATGGCTGCCCTTCGAAAGCTCAGCTCGTTGGATAACGGCCGATTTTGGGCCACTGGCGGCGTTCAGCCTTGAACGCCCGCGCTGGGGTCGCCGCCGCGTCGACACGGCGCGGACCTGCCGTATGGGGTCGGGGGTCCTCAGGAAAATGGGCCCTGGAACCCAAGGCGTTCCCCAGGATTGGTTTTGTCGTCCTGGCTCGTTTCTCTGACGGTCCTGGGGACTGGGAAGGGCCCCAAGAGGCCAAAAACCATGAGAATTGCCCGCCTTCATTTCAATACACTGGAAGTCTGGGAGGTGGGGGAGGAGTAGGAGAAAGAAGAGGAGGAGGCGGGGGCGGAGGCGGAGGAGGAGGAGGAGGAAGGAGAAGAGGACGACGATGACAAGGACAAAGAAACGAAGGTGCAGGAGGGAGGGGGAGGGAGTGAGGGAGGAGGGAGGAGGGAGGAGAAGGGAGACCGAGAACGGTGCGAAAGACCTCAGGACCCACCTGACCCAGGACCCCCTGCACTTCATGGTGAGGGTAGCCGAAAGTCTCCGTGGGGTCTCCGATTAAGTCCCGGAGGATTCCCGGCAAGAGCCTGAAGCTGGGTGAACCAAAAGGAGGCTGAAATGGGGTGGTGCAATAGATTTGGGACAATTGTATTGCAAATGTATTGCGCAGGAGACTTGCATTGCATTGTATTGCAAGCAACGTGTTGCAAGCGCAAAAACAACAATACATTTGCGCCCCGAAATGTATTGCACAACCCAGATGTTTTGCAACCCCACCAAGTCTATTGCACCAAATCTATTGCACCACGCTGGACCCCCTTTCTGGTCAACGCCCAAAAAACTTGATCCTCGAACCGCTTCCCCACAGTTATCCGGAGGCCCCAGAAGCTCCCATCGGAGGCCTCTGGAGGAGACCAGGAGCGCCGAGAGGCCTCGATCCTCGGACGTCCATACCTCGGTCCTCGGACCTCGGAGAGGGCTTACCCCCTAGACATGCGACGTCAACCACAATGGAAACCACCCACCGCCTCCGCGAGCTCACAGGAAAAATCTAGGACGGGTGGGAATTCAAATCCGCCGACCCTGTCAGCGTGTGGAAGAGGCTGTCGAGACTCAGCAATGTTCTAGTTGAGTCGAAGGGAAGCCCCTTCCATTTGATCTCTTCCCCGCCGGGGGGGGGTCCCGGGGGGGGCCTCCTGGGGGGGTCCCGGGGGTGGCCTCCCGGGGGGGTCCCGCGGCAGATACGGCTCCTCCACGGGCGGTTTGGCAGCCAAGAAAAGCGTTGTAGTTGAGTCGAAGGTAAGCCCCTTCGCTTTGATCTGGGGTCCGGAGGGTGGCCTCCCGGGGGGTCCCGGGGCAGAAACGACTCCTCCTCGGGCGGTTTGGCGGCCAAGAAAAGCATTGTAATTGAGTCGAAGGTAGGGGGGCCTCCCGGGGGGTCCCAGGGCAGATACGACTCCTCCTCGGGCGGTTCGGCGGCCAAGAAAAGCGTTGCAGTTGAGTCGATCAGAAGCCCCTTCCCTTTGATCCCTTCCCCGCCCGGGGGGAGGGGGGGGTCCCAGGGGGGGCCTCCCGGGGGGGATCCTGGGGTAGATACGACTCCTCCTCAGGCGGTTTGGCGGCCAAGAAAAGCGTTGGAGTTCAGTCGAAGGGAAGCCCCTTCCCTTTGATCCCTTCCCCCCCCCCAGGAGACCATTCCTGGTCCATATCGATGACGTATTGGTACAAGTCGCCAAAGTAACCTCCACACGGCACAACTGGCTTCCACAACGCCCCAGGAAGCCTCCACGAGGACTTCCGAAACGGCCTCCAGGGGCAAAAGTCATCGATGTCCCCACGTTTTACAAAGATTTCGGCGTTTTTACCTTGTCACCTTCCCGACGATCCAAGACCGGCCACGAAGCCCCCAAGACCGCCCCAAGATGGCCCACGACGCCTCCAAGAGAGTGCCACAACGACCCACGAGGCCCTAAGACCGACGAAGAGGCCTCCAAAATAACCGAAGAGGCCCCCAAGACGGCTCCAAGGAAGAGCACAGACGGGGGACCCGAACGATCATGTCGAGCCCTCGGCCTCACATGCTCTCGGGAAGCCCCCAGAGGCCCCTCAGAAGCACCCCACGAAGTCACGAGAAACCTCCAAGAGACCCCCAGGTAGCCTCAAGAGGCTCCCACGAGCCTCCCAAGCGGCCTCCGATACCTTCCCAGAAAACACCCAAACTCAGGAGCCCCCGAGACGACTTCAACAAAAAAAATCCCGACTCCGGGGAAATACACATGTACGCCCAAAGAGGCCTCCAAGGAATCCAGCAAGAGACATCCCAAGAGACTCCGAGAGGCAGTCAAAAAGATTCGGGCATTCTGCTGGCCCTCCTCTTCCTCCTCCTCCTCAGCCTCTGCCTTCTCATTCTCCCTCCTCCTCCATTTCCTGCTTCATCCTCTTCCTCAGTCGACAGATAACGGCTGCCCCTTTCTTGCCCCTATACTTCCCTGATTGTCCCGACTCTCCTGGACATCGGTTCGGAGACACGACGAGGGTTCGCTTCCTATGCTGGTTTTGGGGACGTCCGCCACTCCCGTTTCCCTCCCTCTCCTGACCCTCCTTTTCCTCTTTCGGTCACGGACGCGCTGCCCAAAAAACAGTTGGTCGTCCATCGTCGTCGTGAGCGTCGCAGTCGTCATCGTCGTCGTCGGGGTCGTCGTCGTCGTCGTCGTCGTCGTGGCAGTCGTCATCGTCGTCGTCGGGGTCGTCGTCGTCGTCGTCACGTCGTCCATGTCCCCCATCAGCCTTTCCGGGGAACCACTCCGGACAAGAGTACGTGTGCACCCTCACCCTTGTTTTCCTCAACCTCGTGAGCCTCCTCATGCTCGCCCTCCTCCTCCTCCTCCTCCGCCTCCTACTCCCACTCCTCCTCGGCCTCAGCCCCTCCTCTTTATCCCCTTCCTCTTCCCCCTCATTACCATCATCCTCACGTTCCTACTCCTCCTCCTCCTCCTCCTCCTCCTCCTCCTCCTCCTACTTCTCCTGCCGCCGGCTTTACACTCCCCCCCCTGGCTCAACGACATGATCATCGTCATCATCACCGACATCATCCGCGTCGTCGTCATCATCATCAACATCCTCGCCATTACTTTCCTCCTCCGTCTCCTGCTGGTCATGCTCGCCACGCTCTACCCACCGCTGCCCCTCCTCTTTGTCAGCCGTCCTTCCCCTGCAAATGCGTCCCTGCTCGCTTCGCTCTCCCCCTTGCTCTCCCCCTTCTCGTCTTCCCCTCCCCGTCCCTCTCGCCCCCATCCTCGTCCTCCTCCTCCCCCCTCGCACCTCTTCCTCGTTTTCCTCGCCCCTCCTGCTCCCTAGCGTCCTCCGCCACCTGCTCCTCAACATCCTCGTCGTCTTCGTCGTCGCCGTCTTCAGGATCGGCGGCACCGGCCGTAAGGCCTTCGCAATTTATCCAAGCACCTTTCGTACATACGCTTTCGGAACACTCTGCGCCGCGCGCAACGCAGGCATACACGCGCAAGCCATCCCTCACAAGCGGCCACGTGATTGGAGCCACGGGCACTCAAAGGGGACACGCCGCTTCCGATTCGTGCACCCACCGAGGAGCAGAACAATGCCCGCGGCGACGCCAACGAAGGCACCAGCACTCACGCCGCCACGTCCTCCGTTCCCTCCTCCGCCGTCGCGTCCTGATTTTTTCACTGCGCGGTCCCCCGAAGTCCCGACCCTTCCCCCGGTGCCAGATGTTCATCCCGAGACGTTTGTGTTGACGGTCCCAGGGCCTGGCCAAAGCCCTCGGAAGCCGAAAACGGCCGAAACAAACCCCCCGTCATGATTTTCCGTGACGCGAGCATGTTTGGGTCCCCCGAGCCCCCGCAGTCCTGGACCCTGCGCGCCGACTCCCGCTTGGACGTTACTTCCACCGAGCGGAGGCTCTGCTCCAGCGAGTCGCTGGCCTCCTGGAGCCACGTCGACCGCAGCGCCTCCTGCAGCGCACGCCCAGGGCCGCTCAGCGCCAGGTCCTCTCCGTGGCGCCAGTACGCCGCGACCCCGAAGTCCGCCACCTCAAAGCAGCAGGATTCCATCACAGCTGGATCGGCCCCTAGTAGGATTATAAGAGCTGTACCCAGCCCTGAGAGGATTCCATCAGAACTTGATCGAGCCGTGGTAGCGTTCTCGTAGGGCTGGATCCAGCCCTGATAATACTAGACTAGAGCTTGGTCTGGGCGCTGAGATCCAGGACCTGAGATGCGGGCGCTGATTAGGCCCTGGGCCAGCCCTGAAGATCCGGGCGCTGCGATTGTTTCACACCGTCGCCCAGTTTCGGCCCCAGGATTTCAGATCGGCCTGGCTTCCCAGACATGCTCGAGTCGCGAAAAGAAAATCACGACGCTTGGCTTTTGAGAAGTTTCGGTCTCCGCGGGCCCTCGCCAGGCCCTATGACCGTGAAAAAGCTACTCGGGACAAAAAACTAGCCCTGGGGAACGGGCTGGGACTTCCAGGGACCCCACCCAGTATCGCAGGGAACAAGACGTCGCATGTCTGGTTGAAAATGCCGCAGAAAGATTGGGTACAGGGCTCTGGTCGTGATTTCTCGCGATGTTGCAGTTTGTTTGCAGCGTCGGATCCCAGGGAGGGTCGCGGCTCAAGGGCCGAGGATCGAGACAGGGGCACCAGGAACCCAACGCTTTAGCCAAAGATCAGGGCGGAGGTGTTTCGCCATCTCCTGCCCCTCCTCCTCCTCCTCCTCCTCCTCCTCCTCCTCCTCCTCCTCTCCTCCTCCTCCTCCTCCTCCTCCTCCTCCTCCTCCTCCCCCTCCGTCTCTCCCTCGGTCCCTCCCGCCTTCCTGTCTTCCCCACTTCTCCTCCTCCTCCTCCTCCTCCTCCTCCTCCTCCTCCTCCTCCTCCTCCCTCCTCCTCCTCCTCCTCCTCCTCCTCCTTCCCCTCCTCATCCTCCTCCTCCTCTCCTCCTCTTCCCTCCTCCTTTTCCTCCTCCTCCTCCTCCTCCTCCTCCTCCTCCTCCTCCGCCTCCTCCTCCACCTCCCGTTCATCCTCCTCCTCCTCCTCCTCTTCCTCCTCCTCTTCGTCCTCGTCCTCCTCCTCCTCCTCCTCCTCATCCTCTTCTTCCTCTTCCTCCTCCTCCTCCTCCTCCTCCTTCTCCTCCTCCTCCTCCTCCTCCTCCTCCTCCTCCTCCTCCTCCTCCTCCAGGTGGCTCCACGGCGAGGCCCAGGAGCCGTGTTGCCCCCTCGGCGACGCGCGGCCCGTGCCATCGCGGATCGCCCCCAGCGCCGCGGCGCGAATGCCTTGCGGCGGCGCGTGAGTGTGCTACAGGCTGTGCAGTGGTGTGCGCCCAACGGTGACGGAGAGAGGCCCCCCAAGCTCAGCCGCAGCCGCCGACGCGCCGCACGCAGACTCCGCCTGGCCACCTGCCGCCAGGCCGAGCTGGACTGGGCGGTCCAGTACCAGCCGCCCAGGCAACCCTGGTGGGGTTTCCCGTGGACGGAGATCTACGAGGAGGAATGGCAGTGGCAACCTCACGAAGAACAACCCTGTGCGTGCGAGAAGGACAGGCAGTGGCACCTTCAAGAGGAGCCAGACCAGTACGAGAAACACGCGAAGAACGAGCTCCACTAGATCAGCTACAGTGCGACGGCGCTGAACAGCGGGAAGGCGAAGGACGAGCGAAAAGTCGTCAGCCACGACGCGAAAGTGACGAACAGCCGACGTGAGCGTAAGAAAGAGGAAGACGAAGGACGAGCCCGCCTTCTGGTGGATAGTGGATTGGTGCTGGGACCAGGGCATCACGCCCGACGTCGGCCTCGCGGCGTGCGAGGAAGGCGAGCAGCGACAGTGGGCTCTGGCGCTGCCCCAGGAAAGAGGAAAGGTGAAGGTAGAGCCCGACGTCATCAGCCACAGTGACGGGAGCGCCGGGGACAAGCCGAAGCAGACGGCCCTGGCAAAGAGGGAGGCGACGCTGGAGCCCGATCTAACGAAGTACTCGAAGCTGCAGCTCCGCGATGAGGAAGTCGAAGCCGGAGACCGACGTACTACACTAGACGGCCTGGCGGAGGCGAAGGGAGCCCAACATAGCTGTCTACCTCTCGTCGCCCCTCGTCGCCACGGCTGGACCAGGGAAGGCTGGGGAGGCGAAGATAGAGACCAACGTGACCAGCCACAGCGCAGTGTTCAGGGCATGTGAGGAGCGGCAGGCGAAGCTGGAGCCCGACATCACTAGCGATTGCACTGGGGTTCGGGCATACGAGACGGAATGTGAGAAGGCGGTTGAAGCGACCATAGAGCACGACGCCACCGTGGCGGCGGCCGCCGCCGTGTCACCGAGGAGGATGTCGAGGCGCTACTGGTCCGCTTGGCCACTCACGGCGGCGTCGAATTTGTAAACGTGGTGCGCCATTGCGCGCTCGAGGATATCGCCCTCGACCTGGTGTGCAGCTACCTGAGTCGCGCCGCTTCAGGTGCGCATTCTGCCTGGAGGCCGAGCGCCTCGCCCACCTGAGCGAGAAGGGGGGCCCGGAAGAGGAATGCGACTCGGGCGGGCAGGACAGCGCGGGCGAGTTGCGCAAGAAGACGGGCAGTGGCAGCCTCAAGACGGGTCTGACTATACGTGCGAGAAAGGAGGGCAGTGGCAGCTTCAAAAGGAAGGCCACGGGCAGTGGCAGCCGCAAGAAGAACGCGTGCGAGAAGGCCCTGCCTGCCCTGCAGGCACAGATGCGAGGAGGACTTGGCCAAGCACGCATGTTTGGCCAGGGAGGAGGCTGCAGCTCCCTACCTGAGACCGCGGGAGAGGGCGAGCCTCGGTCGCTTTCCTCGTCCCCATGCGGGGGAGGGCCGAGGCCGCGCACCCGCTGAGCGCGCGCGAGGCGCACGCGCGCGGCGGGTAGGCATGACGTGGCGGCAGGAAATGGCTGGAAAGGGATCCTCCTCCTCCTCCTCCTCCTCCTCCTCTTCCTCCTCCTCCCCCGCTTCTTCTTATGATTTGTAAGTTGCTCCTTTTTTGATTTGATCTTATTCGCCTTATTATCATGATCATAAATTCTTCTAGCGCTCATTACCTAACAGCGAAGACTGATAGGTTTCTCATAGTGTCAAAAGAGATCATCTTGACTCCCCAGGAGGGTCTGGGCGGGTGCCGGGAAGAAGCCGTTGAAGTCGCCTTAAGCAAACAGTTACACACTTCGTGGTCTTCGAGGTCCCAGAACTCCATTCCTGGGCATGATTTTGAATGCTCGGAGCCAACTGTAGACCACTTCGTGGTCTTCGAATTCCCAGAACTCCATTCCTGGGCATGATTTTGAATGCTCGGAGCCAACTGTAAGCCACTTCGTGGTCTTCGAGTTCCCAGAATTCCAGTCCTGGGCATGATTTTGAATGACCGGAGCCAACTGTAGGCCACTTCGTGGTCTTCGAATTCCCAGAACTCCATTCCTGGGCATGATTTTGAATGCCTTCGTGGTCTTCGAGTTCCTAGAATTCAATTCCTGGGCATGATTTTGAATGTCCGGAGCCAACTGTCAGCCACTTCGTGCTCTTCGAATTCCCAGAACTCCATTCCTGCGCATGATTTTGAATGCCCGGAGCCAACTGTAGGCGTCGTCGCCGTCGTCGCCGTCACGACGGCGACGACGACGACGAACGCCCCTCCAGGGCGCCCCCCCCCGCCGCAAGCAGCGGTCACGGGGGGGCATCCTGGAGGGGCGCGTTGCGTCTCCCTCTCTGGATTCTGGAGCGCCCCCCCCGCCGCGAGAAGCGGTCACGGGGGGGTGCTCTGGCAAGGGCGCGTTCTGACCACCTCCGCAAATCTTTTGAGCGCCCCCCCTCGCCGCGAGAAGCGGTCACGGGGGGGGCGCCCTGGCCAGGGCGCGCGCGTTCTGACCACCTTTTCGATCATCCTCCTTGATCCTCCTCCTCGATCCTCCTCCGCCTCCTCTTCCTCCTCCAGTACCATTCGGCTCAGGTTAAAGGACGCAGGCTCAAGCAAAACCCGCCAGCTCAAGCCATGGACGTCGCTCACGCGTCAGGCGGAGCTGTCCGTTGCAGTGGCGGCGACCGTTTGCGAGCCGCATTGGCCGGTGGTGATGGTGGCGCTGCTCAGCCCGCCACGCAGGAACTCGTCAATGCGATTCTGCAGCTTGGCCACCTGCCTACCCAATCGGGCCGCTCGAGGGCGGAGGAGAAGCGGCTTGCCGCGGGTCTCATCAGAGCACGGAAAGCAAGGACGCTGAGCTCGCAGCAGGAGGCGCAGCTCCGCGCGCTGCCGCCTGCCACGAGGGTTCACCCCGAACACTCTGGTGCCAGCGCCGGCGCCAGCAGACAGGCGCAAGCCAGCGCCAGCGCCGTCAGGGTGGATGCAGGCGGCGGTGGTGCTTCTCTGACTGCTGCGGCAGGCAGCGGTGTTTCTCAGCCTGCTGTGCCAGCGGGAGCAGGAGCTCTCGCCAAGCAAAAGGCGCAGCAGAAGGCAGACCTCAAGGCAAAAGGCAGACGCTGAGCTCGCAGCAAGAGGCTCGCAGCAGGAGATAATGCAGAGCGATGAAAACACGGATACAGACACGCCTTGCAGCGCCTGCATGTTACTACTGGTGCTACTACTACTACTACTACTACTACTACTACTACTACTACTACTACTACTACTACGACTACGACTACGACTACGACTACGACTACGACTACTACTACTACTACTACTACTACTACTACTACTACTACTACTACTACTCTGTTGCAACTACTACTACTACTACTACTACTACTACTACTACTACTACTACTACTACTACTACTACTACTACTACTACTACTACTACTACTACTACTATTACTACTACTACTACTACTACTACTACGACTACTACTAAGCAGAGGCTGAGGCTGAGGCTGGCTGAGGCTGAGGCTGAGGCAGGCTGAGGCTGAGGCAGGCTGAGGCTGAGGCTGCGACTGCGACTGCCGTTGCCACTGCAACTGCCATTGCGATCGCGACTGCGACTGCAATTACACCAGAATTCTACAACATGACCCCTACATGAATCTCAAGGGCAATGTTTCCATAT